CTAGATTGAGTAATAAGAATTGATTAGAGAAATTCTTCTGTGTTAATGTTAGTTTTAAATTAATTTTTTTAGTTTCCTGGATATATCTCTTTTTAATGGCCATAAAATTCATAATTTTTAATTTTTTGACTGGCCACTTTCAGAGAGTGTGAAAAATGTCCTAAACTTGAAAAAAATCTATCTGCCAATGCTTAGATATAAAAAAATGTGATTCCGTTATTCACCTTATTTTCTTCCTTCATGCGTAGAATTACCCATATGTATATATATATATAATATATATACTTAAATCTATCTGTTGCATAAGATTACTCTTATTTGTTCAAACAAAGAAATTTAACCTTAATGACGTAATAATATGCACCTATCTAAAGCATATTGTATCTACCTTTGATGTTTAGTTATACAGAAGCAAGTTCGTCCTGGACAGGGTATTTGTCCGGGTCCACACGTGCATTCTTCTTCGTACCTTTCGTGATTTCTTACATCATCCTCATCGATGCCCTCAGGTTGAATGTCGTGATTCGATCTACCCTTCCCAACGCCTAATATTCCTCCGTTCCGGGAACTTGAAGCTATGGTGCCCTTAGGAAAATAAATGTGTGGAAAAATATTGATGGGAATGGGATGTCTCTTTAAAAAAGTGTAAGGAAAAATTGGTTCTGTTGGCGGAGAGACAGGTCTCGGGGGGATCCTACGGTATCCTATGTTACGGACGGTAAACGGTCGGTCTCCAGCAGATCTTTGTAGTCCTGACCCGTACATTTGACGGGCGGCTCCGCGATGCGGGAAATGATGCGGCGATGCCGTTGTTGTTAGTGCGAATACAGATTCACCCTGACATTTACAAATCACTGAAAAGATAAATTCGGTATCTTAAAAAGTAGGTCAATCCATTTTTTCTGTGAAAACCATGTCATTAAATGGCCTATAAAAAGTGCCTGGAAGATGAAAAACCTTTCCTCGTAGGAAATGACCGCTAGAGATATGATTTTAAAGGCCTATACATGGTGAGCCATTTTATGGAAAAATCGGTTTTTAATACAGGTGCAGTTCAAAATACGGAAAAGTATTTTGCAATAAAATTTATTTATTAAAATGGCGGATTTCTGATTAGGATCAATATCCATGACGCACACAAAAGACGATTGTTACATGGTAGGAGCCTTATATGACTCCCCCCACTATAAATATTTTTAAATTGCTATAATTAGAAACTTGTGGAAAACAATGTGTTTTTAGGGTTTCATACTCGAACAATCCAACGAAACCTTATTCATTTCGGTAGTTCGTCCATCAGAGGCTTTTTAGAAAGGATTACACTTGCTGGATTCCTCATCTAGCAGTACAGCTGGATCCAGCGTATTTTTTCTTGCTATATATGTAGATGCTGCATTCTTCAATGTAAATTAACATTGAAATATACATAGAATCACATACAGATTACATTACACTGATTGAACTTTAAAGTTCATTGTTTTCATTTGAAATGTTAAACCAAGTCAAAATTATGTTTCAAACCTACATGTGTAAGTTTTGTACTGAGTACCTAAGTGACTTAAAAGGTCGTACATGGAAGCATTTAAAAACGCCCACATTATTGCTATTTATTTTTGTGGACAGTTGTAACAGAATAATATATCCCCATAAACAGAGCACTCTATGGAAGTCAATAAAAAATAGGCGAGATAGGTTGGTGGGACACCTTCTCAGGCATGAAGGTCTAGTCAGAGACATATTAGAGGCAGAAACAGGAGTTAGGAGGGGTAGAGGTAGACCTAGATTAGATTACTGTTCGCAAATAGTTAAGGATGTGGGCTGTTCTAGTTTTAGGGAAATGCGAAGTTTAGCTCAGGATAGGAAAGAGTGGAGGTACGTGTCCAACCAGTCTTAGGACTGACGACCTTATGATGATGAATAATAAAAAGGTATTAACCTTTGTTTATTTTAATATAAAAAGATAGCGTTTTTGTAACTAGAATTGCTGCTGATACGAAATAGTCATTCAAAGGCGTTTTTCCTATATTCGTATGTAATGATTAGAAAAACAGAACTCTGCCATATATTTATTTTAAATAACCTTTATAAATTCATATTTATTGTTCTTATAATCGGTTACCATTCATTGCCTAGCTAGAATCATTAATTTTAACGAAAAACGACTTTTCTCTGGCAGGAATAACAAAGCTTTAATGAAGAACTTTAAACTAACATAATAATCTGCGCAAACAGAATTTTGAAAAAGTTTATATCTCGTAATGTTCTGATATAAGTTTTAACTTATCTGAGATACACGATTGGGATAGGATTGTGTTATTGGCAAGTAAATTTTATTTTAAGCACGGCAGCATTATGAATGGTTCATTCAATATGTTTAGGTGGATGACGGATCAATACATACCGCCCCCAGTTGTAGGCGGTAGCTCTTGCTCAAATGTAAGGATTTCTTTTTGCGTTGGAATGCGTCCTTCTTTTCAATAGCTTATTTAATTATCATCAGTCGTTTATATAAACGGAAACAAATGGTGAAGCAAATAATTATAATTAACTTTAATTAATTGCTTCTCTTGAAAAAAATTCAGTAGAGCTCGTACGTACGTACCTACGACCGGAAGCTAGTACGCATAAGTTAACAAAAGAACTATTTTATAAAAATCAAAATTTTTTTATTTTTACTTGTTAGTAGAGTTTAAATGAGTAACTACTTATAAAAAAAATGAGAGAATTTATAGATACAAAGAATAAGTTTTGGTAAAAAATATGCAATGCGATAGGTCAGATATCTAATCAAAACTTACATGTAAATAAAAAGTAAAAAGCTGTAACGTAGCATCCTCTCCTGATGATCGTTGGCAGGGCGGAGGAGTAATAGGATGATCCTGTTCCACCCCGCATCACATACACTTTACTTTTTATCTTCTTTTATATGCAAACATTTTCGAAAACGTTATTTGCGTTTACCGATTGTTCGTCACCTTGTTGTGCTTGTACAGCACAAGAAGGGGTTTGGGTGCGGCGGTGGCACAACAGTGCAACCCCTTGCGATAAGCTTTTGAAACGATTCACTCACATTTTTTCCGAACAAATTCACTAAAACTATTGAAACATTTAATGTAAAGCGATATGCAGTTTATTACACTGAAATATTAAGGGTGTTTTTCTCAATATGCATCGCTCTGGGCGAAATTTTCTACCGTCTTTTGACAAGCTTTTCTGTTCATTTGCGCCCACTGGTGCAAAGAAGAGACGCCTCGCGCCGGCGTATGCGTATCAACCCACGCCAACTATTACGACGTCTTGTTTGGCTTACATCCAAATTATAACACTGACCAGTCCATTATGTATACCTTCGGTTGGTTCTTAAGGACGAACTCGAAAATACTAGCTTTTTATGGCCCATTCAGTTCAATTCAATCAAATTGTTTCTTGCAATTTCTCCCTTGTCCTTCTTCCCGAAGCCTATCTTATGTTAAAATAAATTAGCCCACTCCTATCATCAACGTAGTTTCAAAATTTTATCTTTCAATTTATTTTTTCGTACATATTTGTCTTCATAGGGTATTTTTTGTATTCTCTGGTTAATTTTCGTACATATTTGTCTTCATAGGGTATTTTTTGTATTCTCTGGTTAATTGAACCCAATTTTTCCAAATATGATGTAGGCGTAATTTTATTTCTTTTTCTGGTAGTACGATTTACCTCTCTGATTTGCTTATTATTAATTATCGATTTAAAGTTAATTAATATGGGTGATAATTACAGAACATAACAATTTCAGAAGTTTTCTATAGTTTCATTATAATACAATTGTTTCGCTTATTCAGGTAAAAGAAAATCTATAGGAAAACAGTTGTGGTATGTATTAGGTATACAAAAATTAATTGAGACTGATGTGTTCTTTATTTACTCAACACATTGCAGATACATTCACCAATTCATTAATCATATTTACAACTAATATTGTTTCTGTCCAAGGAAATTATTATCGAGAACGCTATTGAGTCAGAATATATTATGTTCCGATTTGGTTGCTGAATAAAAATTGGTTGTTATATAGACTTTCTAATTTCGGGATTTTCAAATATTTAAAGTTTTTTTCTGCCTATTTTAAATTTTTATATAATTATTTAATCAAATATTATGGTTATGCTCCGAAAAGTTCGTTTTTCTTTTATGAGTTTTTTATTAAAGGATGAAATGCGTTCAGTAATTCTAGCTTTTGATTCTCTTCCACTTATTCCTATGTAGATTGGATCACATTCGTTACAAAAAAGATTGATATGTTTAAACTACCTTTTTAAAAACGATTTGTTTTTGTTTTGAAGTTTAAATTCTTAAGATTAATTTTATTAAATTCAATGTCTACAAGCCTTCATATGCCTGCTCATAAGTATGTTGTAATTTGTTTTAAATCATAGTAATAATACCACATCTGATTAATCAGTTTCTCTAATATGTCCAGCGCATCCACCATACGATCAGTTTCAATCACTGGATTTCAAACTCATACACATACTCGACTAGAATTTATAGGGGGCATGCCCTATGTAGCGTACAGGCTTTCATGTGGCTAATAAGGGGCATGCCGATATAGGGATTTCCCCTCGTAGATTCCTCATGAAAATCCAACCTAAAAAAGTGGTGATACTAAAATGAGGATTGCCTTATGGGTTTTCATATGGGTCTTAAGGGGAAAACCTATCATATGTATAAACTTACAATTAAATCTACCTTATGGGGGTTCGATGAGGTAAATCCGTTTGAAAATGCTCTCGGTGAAATAAAAAACCTTATAAAAAATGGTAACAATCTCCTTGCCCAATTATGTCGTCGTTTCAATGAAATCCTTTACATTTACAACGAACCAACAAGTGTATTTCCTGATATTGTTATTATAAGACAACTAAAACAGACGCATCAAGTCGAACAACAGTAAAATGATTGCAGTTTACAGTATTATTGACTACAAAAGAGCTCAATAACACAATATTACTTAAGAGCAAACAAATTTTACAAATAAGTGATATATATGTATATATTCCTTCAAACGGAGATATAAATTGTATTGAAATTTGTGGAAAACTACTACGAAAAAGAAAATCCCTTTATACGTATCCATGTGATGCTAAATATTTAAAAATGCACCTATTCTTTTTGCAAACAATGAAAATATTTCTACCTGTGCAATTATAAATGTTGATAAAAAAATAGTTTCTCTTAATATTAGTTACGAAAGTAAAGAAATAATATGTGTTATACCGTTGCTACATATGTAAAGGTGAATAGTTTCTCATTGGTAAAATATATTTTTCATTTAATTTTGTATTTTTTCATGAATAATAAAGTTCATTTTTCCAAAAATTATTAATGGGGTAGCAATAATTTTTCCCCGCGGGGACCACATACGGCATTCCTGATTATGTGCGAATGCGAATAGGCGTTATATGCCCCCACCTTGCCCTAGGGGGCAACCTCATAGGACCCACAATGGGTAGTGGGCTACCCACTTAGGAACCCTACCTGCACTCTCCTCAAAATTCTAGTCGGGAAGCGTACCTATAAACTATTTATTTACAAAACAATTGACCTCGATGTAATGTAAATTTTATAAGTGGTCCATTTTAAGCCATTTAAGTTATGTCGTATCCTTTTGATTATAAATAAATTATATGGACATCTTGTAAAATAAGCGGTTAGATATTTTTATATATACTTTTACGAATTCAACTACATTTTAAAAAAGAATTTGATATGAAAAAGGATTCTAAATGGATGAGTATTTTTTTTTCTAATTGTTTGTTAACAATTCCTAAGTTGTCATATCCTGAAATAAACACGCTTTCGTTTATTAATTAATTTATATTCTACTTCTTAAGTAATATTATAAATGCAAATGTGAGTTCGTTTGTTTGTTACGTTTACACGCCTTAACTATTTAACCGATCATCTTGAAATGTTGTACACATATTGTCAGGGGTACAAGAAGTGATATAGAATACTTTTTGTCCAAAACAATAATATTATTTTGGAAGAATAGAAAAATTAGTTTTATATGACCGTCGGTTATTTTTGACACATATTTAAGACATCAACGCGAGTGAAATCACGGGTAAAATCTAGTTTATTATAAGTTTAAACTGTATAGAGAAGAGTATGAACCGCTTGTCACCCTGAGTATGTACCTGAGTAAAGGATAAAAGGCAAGACGAAGGAGTTAATAAGTAAAGAGACCTGATACTGGAACTTTTTCTTTATTAAATTCTGATAAAATCTTTTCATTTCCACAACAGCAGAACATAGATATCGATTTCAAAATACAACATTATTAAATCAGTTACACATTTAACATGATTTATCATCGTATTACTTATTCTAGTATCTGTTAGTTTTACTTTAGTTATTATAAAAGAAAACATAAAATGTTTTATGTTTACAAAACACAGACAAAGTTACTTTTGTTATTCTGATATTCTCATTCCAATTCCATAAGAGGCGTCCACAAGTTACATCACGCAACTTTCATGGCTTTTTGACCTTAGTTTCTCAGATAGAATTTTCTGATTTTTTAGTTCGTTAAGTTTTATTTAATTAAATCATCTTTCTGGTTTTATGAATTATAATTTTTCAAACTTCTAACAAAATAAGGATTTAGTTTAGAGAATTCTTTTCTGTTTCTTACAAAGGTTTTTATGAACCACTAACACATTTCATTTTTTTGGTGTAATACATAGAAAGATTGTGGTAAATACGGTGGAGGGAGGATTTTTTTCTTTTAAATCCCTAAATATAATTTAATTAAGAAAAGTTTGTGCTATTTTTTTCTTGAAGAGAAGTTTTTGTTTTTGCAATTATTTGATTGAGTAGTTGTGATAGATGAATGCAACTCTAGGTACTTATTTCGTTTTTTAAATAATATGATGTCACAAAAGTTTTCCCTATTCTCTATTATCTGGAATCAATTAAACCGTGCCGTAATTTATCGATGGCTCTTATGAATTACACTAAAAACCATTCCTTAATGTTACATCCTAATAAATTGCTTAATTGCTTTTAACGGTAGGTGTCATACCTAGGATATTTGGTCGTAGGATTTAAGAAATAATCCCGAAAAGTCGAAAGTCCCGAAAATGATTACGTCATGAATACATCACAGCCGAATGAGAAACCTGTCAACATAAAAATTCGGCGATTCTTTTATCGAAGACGCGATCAACATCATTAAAGACAGTACAACTGTAGGGATAGATATACAGAGGTAAAAGATTAGTATGCTTAGATTTGCAGACGGTATAGCAGTATTAGCATCTAGCGAGAAGAAGTTAGAGATAGGTTTAAATAAAATGGAAGCGGTATTGACAAAACAGTACTGTATGAAAATAAATAAAAGTAAAACAAAAATACTGGTATGCAAGGGGAGAAAAAGTAGGGAAACTGCGAATGTAAAGATAAGAGACGAAAAATTAGAAGAAGTGGCTGATTTTAGGTATCTATCTAGGAAGTTAGATAAGTCAGGACGAAGGAGTAGTAGGGATATAAAGCATAGGATAGCGCAGGGTCGAGTCGCCTTCAATAAAAAAGAAGTCACTTCTATACCCGCAAACGATTAATTTAGAAATTCGAAAAAGATTGTTAAAGGTGTATGTTTCGGGCGCGCCGCTGTACGGGTACGAAACATGGACGATAGACGCTGCGAAAAGGAGAACAGAGGACTCTATGGATATCAATAAGAAATAGGCGAGCTAGGTTGGTAGGACACCTTCTCAGGTATGAAGGTCTAGTTAGAGACATATTAGAAGCAGAAACGAGAGTTAGGAGGGGTAAAGGTAGGCCTGGATTAGATTACCATTCGCAAATAGTTAAGGATGTAGGTTATTCTAGTTTTAGACAGAGCGGCATGGCCTAGAGGTCTAGACCATTGCTTAGCGTTCGGGAGGACGCCGGTTCGATTCCGGGTCCGTTTGCCTTGGTCCAAGTTTTTCTGTGGTTTCCTTGGATCACTTAGGCAAATGCTGAGGCAGTCATATATTCCACAGATAATCTTTCACTCTCTTCTGTCTTCATTTCGTCCGTCTCAACTTTCTCACCCGAACCACCATCCACTCATTCCCACGATTCCTGAAAGCAGGCTGAAGAGGGCCTTCCGCCCTACCTTCCGGCATAGTCTGGAGGTACTGCCCGCCCACCAGCATTACTGGCTGGTGGGAATGATACACCCAAAAGTTTTTTTTTTCTAGTTTTAGGAAGATGCAAAAATAAGCTCAGGACCAACGTCCTTATGATGATAACAGGGTATTATTTTAGTATGCAATAATGTTTAATACTTGCAAAAAAGGTCAGGTTATTAGACGGCTTTACTGAAAAATGCTAGAAAACGTGCAGTCTCTATAACTAGTTGTCGCGAGATCGAGAGGAGTAGTACACATCAGAGAAAACGAAGCGATACAAAGCGAAGAAGAAGCGAAGAAGTAACAATGTGCTCATAGGATGGTGAATTGATAATTAATAATAGAAGTGTTAATTAGACAGAAAATTAAATACGTCACTATATTTCTTATTTTTTAAAATGAATATGATCATAGATATGTTTATTAAATTTTGTGGGTATTTTCTTTTTGTTTTTTTTTTTGTTCCCAAAATTGAAATAAAAATACGTACATTCCGTAAAACTAGTTATTTTTACTCAATGAAAACTTGTTGTAAAGTGACACTATTTCGATTTCGGGACTTTCTGCAAATCTGAATATTTGACGTTTAGTATCGGTACCCGACTTGGTACCTTTTTGATTTCGAAATTTGGCAGCCCTACTCATAGCATCATTCTGTAGGACAAAATAAGGAACATAGGTACATGTATTGTATGTGCCTACGTCTTCTTAAGAAGCACACAAGAAATATAGCCTTTCTATAAAAAAAATCTTATGACCACGAAGCTGGCACAATAAAGTGATCAAAATGAATTTCGAAAATTAAGGGCTTTATAGGGGCCAATTTGGTACTAAGATCAAAACTTAGTAGCTCATAATCTATGTTTATTTAAAAAAAATTATTTTAATTTATAAAATTATAAGACCATAATTTTTGATACAGGTTAATTTTTGATACAATTAACCCCTAAAGAGTTCTAATTTCGGCATTTTCAAAAGTCCTTTTGTTAATGCCAGGTTCATGGACATAAAGATATCTATGTGTGTATATTAGGTATGCACCACTAAATCTGCCATCATCTTTCACTTATCCAACAAACAGAACAATTCTTTATCGTCACTTCGTAAAATTCGTTGAGATCAAATATTTTCAATTTATAACCTAAAGCTGTTGTTTCTATTCGAAAAAATAGAATACCCAGTATCCAACGTTAAACAGTAGAAATGCCACAGGAAATACCACCCTAGAATATTTGTCGATTACGTTAACATCTTTTATTTTAGGCATTGATGCTTTGATAGCTGATGCCCCTTTTCTTATTGCTCGTAAAACTTTTGGTTTTTGGACTGCATTTCCTGAAATGAGAAAAACAACTACTACAGAGTGTTGTTGGAGACTAAAAGACATTAAAGAAGATTTCTCTGTGAAGGAGAGGACTTAATAAAATACAAGTAAATATGCATATTCCTATTAGGTTGTCAAAGATAAATTTTGAAAATACTAGGAATCAAAGTAAACACTTTGTTAGGAAGCATATGGGGAATAGGGCATAGATTATGCAGAAACGATTGGATTAGAAGAAAAAGGTTGTTTGATTCGACGGTCAGAAGTTTAGCTCTTTATGGGGTGGAAGTATGGGGGTAGAAGGAACAAAAACAGGTGGAAAACGTTTACAAGAAATATATAAAGTGGTTGTTGTGTTTGGATAGATATACGCCAGATTATGTTGTACGGAGGGAATTAAAATGTGGGAAAATGGTAGAGGAAACCAGAAAAAGGATGGTACAATACGAAATAAAACTTGAAAAGCTTATGGATGGGGATATAAGAAAAGAATTTTGGAGAAAAAGAATTTTAAATATTGGAATAAAAACCAGGTATGATAAAGAAAGAGATGGGGCATTAGAATATTTAAATTTGAGTCAGGAGCAACTGAATGAATAGGATCGAATGGGGAAAAATGTTTAGGAAATGGTGAGAATAATATGTAAAGAGATGATAAGGGCAGAAGACCTAAGAAGTATTGATAAGTCGAGATATGTGGAATGTCTAAAGTTGTTGCTATGGGAGCATTGGCAGGGAGACCTTTTGCCAGACTATTTGAATATAATGAAGGATGTGGATGTATTTGCAAGGTTTAGAGTAGGAAATGAATGTAGAAAATGTAAATATTGAATGAAAGAGGAAGAAATGATATGTAGGATATGTGAAAGGGGAGATGAAACAATGATGCATGTACTAGGAAGATGTGAGGAAAGTAAAGATTTAGATGCATGTAAGGAGATATTAAGCAGGAGTGGCGACGGTCTGATTCTACTTAATTAAAAAAAGAAAGGGTTTTCAGTGTATGTGTGTATGTATATACGTATGTGATACGATAAGTAAGATTCGATTACTTTTTTTTTCTTATTATTTAAGTTAAGTTAACTTTCTTTTGTAATTGTTGTGTATGAATGAAGGCTTAGTTTGATAAGAATTGTATGTATTGTGTAAAATAACTTTATGTTGAAATATATTACTACTACTACTACTAGGAATCACATTTTTTACAAAAACAGGAGTATAACAAGTTAACACTATCACAGTGCCACAAAAATGTCTCGTTTTATTTTGTTGGAAATAACAAATTAATTTTAAGTAACTGTATTTGAATGAAAACTTTTAAAAGCTGTACCTCTGTTGCCCCTGTATCGTAGACCAGGAGTGGTCCTGTAGTTCAGATATCCTGGACCTCTAGATATGCGAAAACTTGGAGGAAATTTCGATGAGTCCAAAGTGCCTCCTCCACTTGTAGGGGAACTGGCTTGGGTATTATACCTGCTTCGTATTGAAGCAATCGGACTCATTCTAATGTCTTCAAGTTCTATTATGTCTTCCGATTGGGATATATAGGGTTGATCGCTAGACTTGGGAACTGCAATGAAATCATACTCAAATATAAACATACGACAAAATTTGAGAGATTATTCCCTGGGTTAATCCAAGAATATTTTATTCTTTCGTGTTTTTTTGGAAAGCCGCTGTTTCCGAGATACAAAATAATAAACACATGTACGAAATATTTTCGAAGAGGTTAATATTCTTTCTATCCTATATAGATTACCCAAAATTAATGGCGGAAAATTAAAGTGATAAATGTTTTTTGAGAGAACCATTTGTGGAATTTGTGAAGGTAATGTAACCGAAATCAAGTTCATAGAAAAAAAAATCAAAGTGTGTTTATCTTTTAATAGCAATTCCTATTATTAAAAACGATGAAATACACAAAAGATTTTTTTTTAACATCATAATAATATAATGGAGATCGCTGAATTAGTTAAAGTGGATCCCACTTACAATCTGCTCCATTCTGGATTTAAAACACCTGGTTTATTATCTATGGGGCCGTTTGAAGTCATTAGTTCATTCCAGTGGAAAATGTGAAAATTTTAAAAAATCGAATAATTGCAGCATTTAATTAAATAAAAATCGGCCCTGGTATTTTGGAAGAGTTCGACAATAAGTAAGGATCTGGTGGTAGTCATTTTTAAGAGCTAATAATGTAATAAAATTGGATAATAAAANTAAATTATAAAAAGGATCAAAATAAGTTTTAATAAATACTTAGGCGCTCATTTGCTTCTAGAATTATAAAATAGCAGAAACGAAGATAAATATTGTGTAATTTCTCAGTTTAATTTCGCTTCTAAAGGGCGCCCAAGCTGTTATTTATATTTATTTTTTCCTTTTAGTATATTAGGTGTATGTTTGGAGCACAGCGTTGTACGGGTGCGAAACATGGACAGTGGGCCCGGCGGAAAAGAAAAGGTTCGAAGCGTTCGAAATGTGGTGTTATAGGCGAATGATGAGGATAATGTGGGTAGAAAAGGTAAGAAATGAAAAGGTATTAGAAAGAATAGGAGAACAGAGGACTCTATGGAAGTCAATAAAAAATAGGTTGGTAGGACACCTTCGCAGACATGAAGGTCTAGTCAGAGACATTTTAGAGGCAGAAACAGGAGTTAAGAGGGGTAGAGGTTGACTTAGATTAAATTATTGTTCGTAAATAGTTAAGGATGTGGGTTGTTCTAGTTTTAGGGAAATGCGAAGATCAGGTCAGGATAGGAAAGAGTGGAGGTACGTGTCCAACCAGTCTTAGGACTAACGACCTTATGATGATGATGATGATATTATTACATTTTATTGTTAAATAAAAGCTTTTTTATTAAGTAATTTTATCTTTTATTTTTTAGTATTTTGAAATTTTGCAATCAGTTATATCTAGTATTTGTCAATATTTCGAAGGTATTTAAAACTTCTTACGAGCATTCTCACATAAATTTGACTACTTCTTAGAAATTGCATCAATAAGTAAGGTATCAAAAACAACTTATAAATCACCATTTTGTGACGTCCGCCATATTACATTTATAATAACGTCACATTACTTATTGTGTTTCGCTTATCAAGCCCTTTCATTTGATACCCATATCATAAGGGTTACTATGAAAATTATAAATAGCCAATTTGTTACGTCCATATTAGATAAACAATGGCGGCATTTAAATAATCGTGCATTGTCACGTGAATTCTTAAAGCAGCCCAAAGTATAACCTCTTCAAATTTTTAATAAACACCCTGTATACAAAATTGACTATTATTTATTTCCAAATTATTGTTATACTACACTAGATATGAATTACTATCAAATATAATTTTGTGAATCAGCATCTTACTTTTGGAGTGACTCATTTTTTTCTCGTCATCTTTATTCTTTTTGCTCTTCTTTTTCGCACGTGCCCCCCAATACGTGTAATTTACGGCGGCATATTCCAAGAGGGCAGCAAATACGAAAACGAAACACATCACCAGATAAATGTCGATTGCTTTTACATAACTTATCCTTGGGAGTGAACTTCGCACTCCTGTACTTATAGTTGTCATCGTTAAGACCGTGGTGATACCTAAGCATACAATGGAGAATTATTTTAGACAAAATATAAAATAATGAGCAACGAGCAGTAAAGTTAAAATGAATTGTATTATTTACTATTTATAAAAAATACAATGCCATCACATGTAGTACCTAAGTACGATAAATTAATAACATGGTATGAAAGGTTTTTATCCTTCAACAAAATATCCCCGACAAAGAATCCCAGACATAGATAGTATTAAACTAAAATGTAAAAATGGTCCAAAAGGTGTGATGGATATTACAATAAATGAGCGATTTCAAATGATATCAAATCAATCAAATAATGCTGTCATTGATGTATAATTGATAATAAAAGAATGAAAGCAATGGGACCCCCACATTCAAAAATTGATATAACCGCCATAACTTTCGCCCTTTTGTGTTTGTGTCCTACTTTTTAATGTTATCATTATTATTAATTAAGTGCTTACTTATATCGATGTTCATTTCTTAAACTATTTAATTATATACGTGTGCCCATCCTGGGGCTGCCAGTTCGGTTATCCGTTTTTTTTCGTTGTTGTCCCACTATTTACATTTAATTAATAATTATACATCAACGATAGCATTGATTATTCGATCAATTTGATATCATTAATTTGATCTGAAACATGATAAGAAACTGTTGAATTGTTTGACTTTGAAATCGTCCGCTGTTGTTAAAATATTAAATTTATGAAGTTTTTGAATTTAGCATAAGTACCCAGCTGTTCATTAAGGCTCATTACTGTAAAAAATTACTGTGGAAATTTTAACTGAATGCACTGAGCTCATTAGTCTTGTGGTCTCATAAACAATACAAGAAGATATTCTATTAATAACTTAAAGCACTAATGAACAGTGTTTCGTACAACGTTTGGATACCAGTGAATAGCTTCTTAACTACTAGTACAGTACCGATGAATAGTTTCTTAGTCACCGGCACGGTACTAGTGAATAAGCTTCTTAGTTACCAGCACAATACCGATGAATAACTTCTTAGTCACCGGTACGGTACCGATTAATAGCTTCTTAGTCACCGGCACGGTACTAGTGAATAGCTTCTTACTTACCAGCACAATACCGATGAATAACTTCTTAGTCACCGGTACGGTACCGATTAATAGCTTCTTAGTCATCGGTACAGTACCAGTGAATAGCTTCCCAGTCACCGGTACAGTACCGATGAATAGTTTTTTAGTTACCGGCACGGTACTAGTGAATATCTTCTTAGTTACCAGCACAATACCGATGAATAACTTCTTAGTCACCGGTACGGTACCGATTAATAGCTTCTTAGTCACCGGTACAGTACCAGTGAATAGCTTCCCAGTCACCGGTACAGTACCGATGAATAACTTCTTAGTCATCGGTACAGTACCGATAAATAGCTTCTTAGTCTCCCGTACAGTATCGGCGAATAGCTTCTTAGTCACCGGTACCAATGTTAATGCTGATCTTTCTCTTACCTAATGCAACTCTTGCACTGGTCGCTTCGTGATTGATCCAAAACGATACCCATGATAACATCACTATTAATATACTAGGTAGGTATGTTTGAAATACAAAATAGCCTATATTCCTTTGAAGTTTAAATGATAACGACAGACGCTGATATATTCCTGTCGCCAAACTTTCTTTCCTATCGTTGGTTTCATAACCAATTATTGTGAATTGCGGCAACTCCGTTTCCTCGACACCTCTTACGGGAGTTTCTTTCCAGTACATTACCACATCGGTTACAGTATAACCATCTATAACAAGATTTATTGAGCTTTTCTACCTTTACATGATAATAAAGAAGTAAATTCAAAAAAAAATTTTCTTCATTTTGATGAAGGCTGACTTAAAGCAAGGGTACTCAAATTAAAATTGCTTCAAAATTAAAATACTACATAACTACATAAATGGAGAAAAAACTTAAATTTAATGTTTTTTATGGCGTAAACTTAATGAATACGTATCAGAAATTTTTAACTATATTTGTCATATTGTCAAATTATTTAGATGATAAAAAGTTTTGATGAATTTTCATTCAACAATTTATATCATAAGAAAATTAAGCAAATAATATTTTCATTTAAGAAGGCTCTCGAAGTTAACTCTCCTTAAAACGACAGCTGATGAAATATGAAATATCTTTGATAACCCGTATAGTACAAATTAGTGATTAGAGATTTATATTTTAATAATTATTTATCAAAAATGTGAAGGTGTTGTATTCCTTTAATGAGTCTTTAACCTCTATTCGCGAATTATCAATACAAAACGATGATTTAGTGAATCAAATAATAAATAATATTTTTCAATAACCGGTACTTTTGATCTTTTGAATTCAACAATTTTAGTTGCACCTAAATTGACTAGCAGTTAGTTTGATTCTAGAATAAAGAAACTGCTTTGATCTTCTACATACAATATCTACGGTAAATCAAGAAATTCACAGTAGAGAAAGAAGGATCTAATACATATTTAGATACATAAACATTAATAGCTTACAGCTTTCAATTTCCACAGTACAATTCTGCGAGTCCAAAGGATAATAATGCAAATCCATCATGCAGGCCAAGGTTGTGGTAAACCTCATTCCATAAGTAATACCACCAGCACCATTTAATCGCACCAATTTATTTCGTTCTGTCACATCATGCAAGAAACTGTAAACATTTTACTTTTTTACTGAATCTATAAATACTATAAGTTCAGTAAGAATAAGTTAAATAAACATAAAAAAATAATTACAATAAAATAAAGCAGACCAGTAACGAACTTTGTCGATAATTTTCGATTTTTCTCAGCATATACACTAGGATAAAAGAACGAATATTTTTTTCGAATCTCCTATGAAAATATGTTAGTTTCTCATGTTTCAAGAACCCCCTATAAAGACTATCTTCAGTATTTTCTACGATAAAAACGATGAAAAGAAAAGATCCTGAAAATTTCAAGTCGATATTTTGATATTTAAAAGTCGCTCAAGATTTTTCTAAATTTCCAAGTAGAGTACATAAGATCTGTTTGGGCAACATCTGAACATAAATGCTAATTAACTTTCAAACTTGCCAATCATCATTTAGGTACTAATCGAAAGGGCAAGATACCGAGCGGCATGGCCTAGAAGTCTAGACCATTGCTTAGCATTCGGGAGGACGCCGGTTCGATTCCGGGTCTGTCTGCCTTGGTCCAAGTTTTCCGCCCTACCTTCCAGCATTACTGGCTGGTGGGAATGAAACACCCAAAAGTTTTGAAAAAAAGTTTAAAAAAAAGGGCAAGATGCAAATAAATGAGATTTTATTACTAAGGTGCATAATGGCAGGTAATACTGAAATTGATATTGAAATATTAATATTATTAATGGAGGCTTAACCAGAAACATATATAAAGTAGAACCGAAACCAAAAAATATTGAAGCTAAAAGGAAGTTTGTAAAGAACTGAAATAAAACGATTGAATAATTACACTATGCGAAAAAATTGCGTTTGATACAAACAGTATTCCAGCCTACAACTAAATGAACTCATCAAGAGTTAGAGATAGCTTCAAATAAAATGGAAGCAGTATTGACAAAATAGTATTATATGAAAATAAATAAAAGAAAAGCGCAAGTACTGGTATGCAAGGGAAGATAAAAGTAGGGAAAGGACGAATATAAAGATAGGAGATGAAAAATTAGAAGAAGTGATCTTAGGTATCTAGGAAATCAGGTTAGGACGGAAGGAGTAGTAGGGATATAAAGCAGATTTAAAGCGGCGTCAAGTCGCCTTTAATAAAAAATCACTTTTATTCTTGCGAACGACTAATTTAGAAATTCGAATAAGATTGTTGTAGGTGTATGTTTAGAGAGCGGCGCTGTACGGGTGCGAAACATGGACGATTAGAAGCGTTCGAAATGTGCGGCGAATGATGAAGATACCGTGAATAGAGAAGATTAGAAATGAAGAGGTATAAGAAAGAATAGGTGAACACAGGACTCTATGGAAGTAAATAAGAAATAGGCAAGATAGGTTGGTAGTACTCCTTCTCAGACATGAAGGTCTATTCAGAGACATATTAGAGACAGAAACAAGAGTTAAGATTAGTAGATGTAGATTTAGGTTAGATTACTGTTCGCAAATAGTTAAGTATGTGGGATGTTCTAGTTTTAGGGAAATGCGAAGATCAGTTCAGGATAGGAAGGAGTGGAGGCGCGTGTCCAGCCTGTCTTAGGACTGACGACCTTATGATGATGATGATGATGACAAATTCTTTTTCTTTTGAGCAGTTGGTGTAACTTTACTAAGATTTGTAGTAGACAATATACATGAATAAATTTCTGAGTGAGTGACTCGAATAAAACTTGCAGACATACTCAATTATTAGTTTTCACCAACCTAGTGAATATTAATAACTCAACATCAGTATGACGCTTATATGCAATATCGATTGTACCAATACCAAAAATTGGGTTAAGCACCCTCTTCACTGCTTGCATTTATTATCCACTTTCTGATAAAAATACACCGGTTTATCAAAGACATTATGCACGTCGTATAAACGAAATTGCTACGGGCGAAGTTCACTAAATTGTCGCCGTCTTAGAAGTCGTTTTTGTCAAGAATTTCGAAACGACATCGAAAAAGGCAAACACAAAACAGCTTTTCAACACTCAGGTAGACTTTTCATTCTTTATTCTTCTTTCCACATTACTTCGCGCATTTCAACGTCACAATACACATTAAAAAAAATTAATGGCCTCTAACCATTTTCAAGACAAACTAATACATATATATGTGTAAGTGTGATGATGTTCTATTTTTCAAATGGTTAAAGATTTTCTTTTTTATTTTATTTTGCCCCGAGTTTACGATATCAGCAAAAAGTTAGTTCCACCTTCTTTAAAAACGATGAACTTTTGCGTGCTTCAATTCCACAATCATGTAATGCTGTTGAACAGGTAGTTCTTCCGACTTACACAATGTAGTAATGAGCAAAGCAAGACCAAGACCAAAATTTTCCGAATCTTGATATTGGTCTTGGTCTTGCTTATCCGGTCTTAGTTTTGGTCTTGCTCAAATACTTCTAGTCTTGGTATTGGCCTTGCTGATATAGTCTCGATTTTGGTCTTGGCTTTGCTGATAAAATCTCGGTTTTGGTTTTAGTCTTGCATTTAAAGTCTTCGTCTTTATTGCTCATTTAATCTGATACTCTTTTTTAATAACACAATAATTGCTTAAATTTTCTGTCATACATTTAATGACTTTTAAAGAAAATAGTGTCGGTAGTTGTGAGAGTTATGAAAACTCAAGTTTACACTCTTCATCTAACGCATAAATTGACCTTTTAACGAACATAATAGCACAAGGTCCTTGAAAGAAGTAAAAAATATCTAAAAAAAATTAGTTTGTCTCTATATTTTAACTATGTGGTATCCAAACATATAGGAGCAAAGAACACTTACTCCGAAGTCATCCGTATAGTTCCTTTTCTTTCAAACAGTGCTAAAGTTCCTTTTTTTATATTTAGTGTTAAAATCTGGTAAAACAAACCGAAAATTTCAAATACCAAACAGGTTTTGTTCCGAGAAAAGTCTATCTATATTAAAATTGTAAAATTCAAATAATTTAATCCACTAGAAGTAATAACTTTTCGGATAATGCCTAGTTCCCACCCATATACCTGGTTTTAATTATGGTTAAAATTTTCGGTATGTCGAATTTCCTCCTAATTATACATCAGTTGCCTCCCAACGGCGGCGGACCTTGAGTGCTAATTGCCACTATAACGTCATAAATAATACAGCCTTACATCACATATTAATCTTAATATTATTCATATATTATAGACACCACAATAACAATAATAATATTATCAGACTACCCTTCTATTGGTCAAATACAAGACAAACTAAAACTAATAAAGCTTTTCTAGATGATTGCATCAGAAAGCTAGACGCACACGAATTTCCAAACATTGAATTTGTTAAGGTAGTGGGAAACCATTTTAAAATT